TAATGTTCTTTACCGAAGAACTTTTGACCAAATGTGGTTGAGATGCGTGAACGGTTCAGAAGCTCAAGAAATTGTTAAGGAAGTACATTTAGGACTTTGTGGTGCTCATCAGTTAGGTCCTAATATGAAAATAAAAATCAAAATGCTGGGATATTACTGGCCTGCGATGATGGCTGACTGTATGAAGGTTGTTAAAAGTTGTCATCAATGCCAAGTACACGGAGTGGTCTTACATCAACGTCCAAACATACGGCACCCAACAATTACCTCATGGGTATTTGAGTATTGGGGTACAAATATAGTAAATCCTATAGACCCTCCATCTTTTAAGGGACATCGATTCATACTCGCTGCAACGAACTATTTTTTGAAATGGGCAGAGGCAATACTTCTACGGAAAGTGAAAGCACATCATGTTTTGTAGTTCTTCAAAAATTAAGTTGTTTATCATTTTGGAGTACCACACAGAATCATATCAGATAATGGGTTCGCATTCAAAAATACAAAAAATAATAACTTCGTCAAAAGACACGAAATAGATTAGCGTTACTCTACAATTTATTACCCGAAGGCTAAATGATTGGCTGAGGCTTTTAATAAGAATCTCGTCAAAATTCTAAAGAAAACTTTGAACGAAAATAAAATAAATTGGCACGAGTAGTTATTAGAAGCCTTGTGGGCCTACAGGATCACGTTCAGAACTCCAACTCAGTCTACACCTTACGCTCTTGTGTATGGGCCCGAGGCTGTGCTACCTTTAGTAGTTTTAATTCCATCTCTCAGAGTTACCGTCGCCAATAAAATTACCACTGAAGAGAATGTCAGATTACGACTAGAAGAACTAGAAAGTTTGGAAGGAAAATGACTGATAACGCAACAAAATTTAGAATTATATCAAGCTAGAATGATTCAACCACATGATAAGCTGGTCCGCCCCAGGACTTTCAAAGGCAGTGACTTGGTTCTTGTCCTTAGAAAACCTATTCTTGCACATCATAAAATAGGAGGTAAATTTGAACCAACCTGGGAAGGACTGTTCTTCGTTGAGAAGGTTTACTCTGGGGGCTCTTATCAATTAATAGATTGTCAAGGATAACGACCTATGCTTCCTGTCAATGGACGATATCTTAAAAAGTACTATGCGTCATGATGTTTCGAAAGAGCAAACTTTAGAAATAGAGTCTTGTTCTTAGAAGCACTAATGTTCTAGTTGTAACTGGGTCCAAATTTAAAATTGTAACAGAATATACTCGAACATAAGAAACTAATTTTGAAATAAATTCTGTCTGTATAATTCCATGTTTATGGCATGACACTCTTTTCTTTTCCACACAGCTTGAATCTTTAAAGTAAACCTAATGCGTGTGTGTGTGTGTATAGATATGTATATATATATATATATATATTTATATATTGTGTGTGTGCATAAATGTAAATTAAATATGTACATAAGAAATATACTTTTGTAATGTATATATATAAATATATATATGTAAATAATTAAAGAATTCATATTGTTCTTGCTTGAGCCCGGTCTAACATACTGATTGTTTTCCTGATTTGGCACAGGAAAATGTCAGAAGGAAGGTTGATTTTTAGTTCCAAGAATGGCATGGGTTTTATGGCATGGGTTTTGCCCGCATGGGTTTTGCCCTTAACAAAGAGAAGTTCAAAGAAGGGGGAGTGATTGAATTTGATCTCAACTTTGACCAGATCAAGCTAGATTACGAAAGTTCAACCTTAACCATAGTTAATAAGGAAGAATTTTGTGAGCAAAAGCCTGTGCTAAAATTCAGGAGTAAGAATCAATTCACCGCTGCAAAGAAAAGAAAGTTAGAAAAAATTGATGAAGCAGAGTCGAGTAACGCTGCGATTAATCCGATGAAGTCAATGGTAATGACTTCAAAAGGTGAGCTTGTTGGTGCTACCTCTACTGACAGTCAGCCAGAAGGTAAAGCAACACTCACTCGCACGCAGAAGAGAAACCAAAACTGCCACATCCATAAGATGCTAGAGCAGTTAAAAGAACAAGGGGAAAATGAAAATGTTATTACACATATGACAATCAAATTAAAAGGAAAAACTTCTGATCATCCAATTGAAATTCTTCCTCAACTCGTGAAGGTCGAAGAAAAGGTGATTTCTAAGAAGGAAAAGAATGAAGAAAGATCTATGGAAGTTGAGCCTTATATTCCTCAATTTGTAAGCATAATGCGTTCTTTACAAATTATTTTGGAACATGATCTGAAGAAATATGAGAAAGTGAGAAAACAGAACTTCGAGCATTTTCAGAGGCTTCAGGGAAAATATGTTAATATACTTGAAAGATTAGAATTGCACACCAATGTATTCACTAGCAGCGAGCATGATGATATTTTGAAGCGTGTCTTTTTGGAAAGAGACATGGGCTGAGCTGGTTAGTTAATAAGAAGAACATATTCCGAGCCCAGAAAGTGAAAACGCGGTAAAGGAAGGGTTACAATGCAATATGGTTGCTGTTATAATTTTGCTCAGGACAAGGAAGGAAATCCACCTGGAATAATTCGCCACGACGAAGTTGATCCTTTACCGTCGTTCATAAAGAGGATGATTAAATGATTGGTGACTTGGCGTATCTTACCAGCAGATTGTATTCCCAAAATCTGCATAGTTAATATCTACGAGGTTGGTGATTGTATTCCTCCACACGTTGATCAACATAATTTTGTGAGACCATTCTACACGGTCTCATTCATCGACAAATGCAACATTATGTTCGGGAAGGAAATCCAGATTGTCGGTGATGGAGAATTTTGAGGTTCTGTGGAGATCCCCTTACTTGTGGGATCAATTTTGGTTCTGAAAGGTAACGTTGCTGATGTAGCTAAACACTGCATCCCTGGAGTGCTATATACAAGAGTTTCTATAACTCTCACGAGAATGAATGAAGACAAGGTACCATTCCATTTTAAGCCTGATCTTGAGATATAAAATTTGTAGCCTTATGAGCTATAAGCTATTTAAAGATAGCACACCTCAGTATATATTTAGGAAAAACTGCTTTTACTTTTTCGATGATATGTTAGAAGGTGAGCTAGTCTTTATATAACTTACCATTTTGACATGTATACTGACAGTAGATCACCAGTTAGATGATATGCAAATGTGACTCAGTGATATATGTCTAGTATTGACTTATGAGAGAGCATTCAGATATGTGGATCATTCATATGGTTTCGAAAGATATTTTGATTATGTCTTCTTGAATGGAATCATATGGTATTACATTTGGTATCAGATTATATTCCTGACATGATAGTTTAATGAAAATGTGTTGAAATTTCTTTTCACAATTGTGAATGCAAATTTGGGCAATTGATTAAGAAAACAAATGAATTTTGGTTTCTCTCAATTCTGAGAAAGGCTAAAGAAAGTAAGAACGATGTGTAAAATAACATATGTAATGATTAACACTCAACATAATATATTTATATACTTATATAAAATTAATTAACAATAAACAACAAAACATTTTTTTAAAAATCATGAAAATTTCAAAGAAATAAACTTTTCTCACCAAGAGTTGATTGTTCCTATACTTAAGTAAATTTTGCCTTTTCTTTCACAATCTTGTAAACCTTACAAATTTCACATTTCCATAAGTCTTCGGATTCTGCACATTTCATACTTTATTTACTCATGATTCTCATACGATTACACATGATTCTTCACATCTTTATAAATTAATACGACTATCACGTTCTTATACAATCTCACATGATATCTCACATTTTGAAACAAATTCCTATACTCATGATATTTCAGGATTGGTACAGGGACGTCGATTCCTTCCACATATTTTACACATTCACGATATTTCTGAGTCAGACATAATATCCCTGGCGGTAGCCCGAACTGGTATAGTCTTTCCTTGAAATTTGGTGTAATATCCTTAATGATTGCCATTATTTGCCCTAGCAGTAGCCCGAATTGGTATAGTCTTTCCTTGAAATTTGACGTTATATCCTTAATGGTTGCCATTCTTTGCCTAGATGTAGTTCAGACATAATATCCCTGGGTGTTGGCGTCAATTTTTAATGTCACATGTGTTGGATGTCCACTTGAGCGCATCAGGGTATGCAAATGAGTTACCCCTGTAGCGCAGGATATTCATTTAAGACATTTACACGTGTTGAGGGGCACGTAGCCGGGGTCTTTTTGCTAAGGCTTGGACTTTCGCTTGGGCGAAAGCCGATCAACATTTGACACATCAGACGACTCCGATCGGGTCGAAAAATATTATTTATCGCGCCGCGCGCGAAATTGGCTCGATCACCGACGAGCTCATTCAGACAACCCCAGACGATGAAACAGACCACGCGAGTAAGTCCGGAACGTCGATTCCACTTGGAAAAGGCGCTCGTTGCACCATAATTTCGGGGGAGGGTTAAAAATGCGCAAATTATCGTTTTAGCCCAAATTACTGAAAAAGTGGTCCAAACGATCCTGGATGACAAAACAGACTGCTCCAACGCGTCCGGAACGTTTATTTTAGTTAGAAAGGACATCCTCTTCGCTGCGAGGACATATAATATGCGAATAATGATTAGAATATTATTGTTATTGTTATTATATAATATATTATATTATATAATGTAATATATTATATAATAATCTTATATAAAAAAAACAAGTGTTTTTCGCTAAAAAAAAAACTTCCCAGCCGCAACTCTCAATTTGCGAACCCTATACCTCGAGCCGCGCCGACTTCGCCGCGCCTCGCATGCCGCCGGCGCTACTTGCCGGCGAACGCCGACGCTGCCTCTTCCTCACTACGGTAAGTCCATCCGGGCCCCCTTCTGATTCGCCGCTCATATACAGGACGTGACGGAAAGAACCTCAGAGCCCTATGCGGACAGATCTCGGACTCCCTCACTCCGAAATCTGAAGCTCCTGAGAGCCCTGGAATCATCGCTAAGGATTCAGCTTGAATCTGTTGGCGTTAGTCCTGTTTATGAGGTTTGTGTAACCTTTTTATTAAATAATGCAGAAGAGGAAGAGAATGCTCGGAGGAGATGGTTCGGGGGGGCGTTGTAGTGCTAGGTTCTGCACAAAGCCTCGGAAATTAATTATGATTTCTCAAAGAAAAGTCAGTGATCTCATTACATCAACAAAGAAAATTAAACTTGCTGCAATTCATTTAAGGAGTTATCCTGAATTTAGGAGGGATTTGAGTGCTGCGTGTGAAATCTTAGAGGGTGAGGCTCGCATACGCAGCATCCAAGAAAAGATTCGAGTTGCTCTATATGTTCAGAAGGCTGCTTTGACATTTATTGGCGCTGCAAATAATACTGAATATCATCTTTCTGAGGATGCCAGAAAAGCTGGATTTTATATTAGCTCTGATGAATTGGCAGTCATCAAGATTTAATGCTCTTGGAATAATGTCGGGAGGTCGCAATTGTAGGTTGTGCACTAATAACTGGTTTAGGGGCTCTCATTTTCAATTTGCTGTAAGAAAATTGCTAACATCATGCTGCCACTCTACTATTGAGGCGAAACAGAAAAACGAAAATAAATCTTTGATCCAATTTATGAGGAATAAGGAAATCATTCCTGATTCAAAACCTCCGGACATGAAAGATTTAAATTTTCTATATCAATTTTTTTGATCGGAGTCAAAAGCTCATGGTATTAACTGAAGCAGGATTAAGCACTGAATCTGGAATTCCTGATTACAGGAGTTTGTCCGCTCCAGTCATGCTCATAGGCGATACTGGGCAAGGAGTTATGCTCGATGGAGAAGGTTTATTGCTGCACGACCTAGTGAAGGTCATATTGCACTAGCCACATTGGAAAAAGTCAGTTGAGTCAATTTCATGGTCACCCAAAATGTTGATAGGTTGCATCATCACGCTGGCAGTGAACCTCATGAGCTCCATGGTACTGTTTGTACTGTACTGTGTTTAAATTGCGGCACTTCTGTTGGCCGAAATTATTTTCAAGATCAAGTAAAGGCCCTCAACCTAAAGATGAGTTCATAGCATCAAATCCTCATGCAAAAATCTTTGTGATTCATTGTGAGATAAATTTGAGCATGCCTCGATTTGAGCAACTCCTCTCGTGAAGGTACGTACCTGTCGGTCGTATTTTCATATGATGCAATATTTTTTTTTGGTACTTTGCATACCTCACTGATTCACCTTTTGCTCCCATTGCGTCTTTTTGTTGTCCTGTGTATTTTTTACAAGGCACACTGGAGCACGGATCGGATGTCGACTAGCTTGGAGCAAACAAAGAGGGTGCGTCCGCAATCGTCACGGTGGTGAGATCTTCTAAACTTCTAGCTGACCCTAGGTTTTAGTGGTGTCTAGGCGTGTGGGTTCGATCGCCCATATGAGGTGCGTGCTCCAACGTGAGCCGGAGCTTTGAAGTACCTATGTAATTGATCATTAATTTCCTAGAGTGAGCCTTTAGGTTAAGATCTTTCTTACGAAACCAAATACCCCTCGTAGAGCTGAGTGTGTCTCTTTTGTTGTGAGCCTTAGCACAAGTCCCGATGGGTCGGAGTCCCTCACTCTCCTTGCTTTGGGTTCCCCAGCTTTAGTTGGAGAAGCTGGGAGGTCGGACTTGGCAAAATGAGGAAACTTTGTAGCTGGTTCGCTTCGTAAAGTATGGAGGAGCTCACAAAATGGGAAAAAACTTTATAGCTAGCCCATTTCGTGACGTCGTGGAGAATTTTTTCCTCGGAAATCCTGGTAAAACTCCCGATATTTCCTCATCAAAGCAAGAAACAGCGACACCGCATATCCAAGAGTCTGAGCTCTATGTTTCCCTGACGAGGTCGTTAGTACGAGCGTGACTGATTATCATTTATGGTCGTTTGCACCTCATTGGTTGCATGCACATGTCTTGCATGTTACGTATTGTATGACATATATTGCACTTGCACCTTGTGTCTCGCACTTGCACTTGCACCATCACCATTTGTGCCTCAATCGGTCATCCTCAACCGATCATATCACTGGTGTTTTAGTTGGCTACCCCAACACGGTTGACACAACACTTTAGTTTGACCGAATGCTCCATCCCAATCGACCTACCACTTGCTCCTTTGCATCTTGTGTATGTGCATGTACTTGTTTGTCTGCATTATCGATATCATCTACTTGAGTTGCATTCTTTCGAGTCACTGCTTTACCAACATATCCTCTTTTTGGGCCCTTGCTGCTACAACATGCCCACCTTCTAGTCACTGTCTTACCAGCAAACCCTCTTTTCGGGCCACTGCTGTCACAGCATGCCCACCTTCGGGTCACTGTCTTACCGGTACACCGTATTTTCGAGCTCTTGTCGTCATGACATGCCCATTCCTTCGAGTCACTGCCTTATCGACATACTCTCTTTTCGGACTACTGCTGTCACAGCATGCCCGTCTTCGGGTCACTGTCTTATCTGCATACCCTCTTTTCGGGTCACTGCCATCACGACATGCCCACCCTCGGGTCACTACCTTACTGGCATACCCTCTTTTTGGGCCTCTGCTGTCACAACATGCCCATCTTTGGGTCACTGTATTACCGACTTACCCTCTTTTTGGGCAGTTACTGCCACGACATTCCCATTCCTTCGGGTCATTGCCTTACCGACATACCCTCTTTTAGGGCCCCTGCCGCCACGGCATGCCCATTCCTTCGGGTCACTGCCTTACCGACATATCCTCTTTTCGGGGCCCTACCGCCACGGCATGCCCATTTCTACGAGTTACCGCCTTCATGACATACTCCTTATCACTACTTATATGTTTTGATTTGCTTGCATTTGCATTTGCATGTTTGCATGGATAGCGAGCTAGGTTTGTTAGGAAAGTGACCACGTGTAGGTCGCGATTCCTTAACAAGTATTGCTTGTTGGGTTGATCCCAGTGAGCAATGTGAGTTAAGTCATCGGGATTGACACGAGTATGACTGTGCTAAAGATCTAATAGATCTAACTTGTGTCATCGCTCTTCTTGACACCCTTTACATCCTTCAGATTTTTAGGATGGGGCTGGTATGAAGACCCCGTCAAAGTCATACTATACTCAGACTTACCCCTCACCTAGATACTAGGTTGACACACTTTTTGTTAGATTGTGTGTTAGGCTAGAATTTAGAGTGCTAGATAGTCTTTTTGATACTTGACTATTGTTCTCTATTGGATTGGTTGCCCTAGACATGTATCTTTCTTTTGCATTGTGTTTATGGTGACTGCATGTTGCATATGTGTGGTGGTGTGTTAGGTCATTTTTCTATAGGGAGTCATGCCTATTTATTTGCACACACACATGTACTGCTATGGGGGAGCAAATAATGATTTCTAACAATTTACTTATAGGTGCTATTTAGTTCACCCACCTTTAAGGCATGACTCATGATACGTTATTTGCATGTGAGATGTTTCGCTGACACTTGTTTTTATGCAGTATTGAGTTATTTCTTTTTTCCTATGTACTTTTTAGAGTCTAGAAAAGTCCTGTAGCAGAAATAAGATACGAGCACTGGTTCCGATGTGTTAGGCGCGGGAACCACGTTGAGGGGACCAGGATTAGATGCTCGTGCTCCGTATCTTAATTCTGCATTTTATATTGGTATATAGAATTTGGACCGGGCATGTATACGCGGAGTCCGACTGCCTTTTTTTTCTAGGATATGTTGCCGACCCAGTGACACTGACCTGTTTATTATTTTGATTTGACTTGTTTTATCTTTTGCATTATGTTGCATGTTTGCACTTGCATGTGTTTTTCTTGTTTCTTTCTGTGATTTATCTGAGATTTCACGATAGAACATAGACTCTTTAGAACTTAAAATCATAATTTTTCTACTTACAAATCGTAAATAAAATATTCAAGATAATTAAAATTTAGGATTAAAATATTCAGGATTTAAAAATTATAACATTTACTTTCCCGCATATATTAATAGGGCATCCACAATAATTAGGATCGCTCTAGATAATTGCATCATATTTACATGTCCTGAGAAGGAGTCCCCGTGCTTCTCCAACCTGACTGACCCAACATACCTTTATATAAGTGGTTGTCTAGTGCGCCTAGGGTGTTAGAATGCTCCCTGACCCAAACGGGGTATAAGTCCTTTTTGTTTGGAGTGTTTCTAGTTTTGTAGCTGAACCTCCACTTTCTCTTCTTTCCTGAGACATACTTGCCACTTCGACAGATATAAGTCCCACCTCTTGGAACTCTAACTTATAGTCATAGGATAGAGTTTTATTCCTCTGACCCTAGGGCTACCGAGGTTTCCGCGGATGTTGCAATTCACAGATTGCTGACCGGGGATTTCAGGACGTGTTGGGTCGACTACTTTCACGACTAGCTAGACTTAGGGTCCTTGTAGCTGTGTATGAAGGGTCCGTGGTACCCGACCCAGTTACCTTTAGCTTTTAGAATCACTCTACATTCCTTTTTGTTGATCCCCTTTGAGCCATATCGCTCCTTGACTTTGTTAATATCACCTTGACGACCCGATGTCGATGAGCTGCCACCCATTTGGGATACGACGATTTGTCCTCTGCCCTTATGGCCCGGACGTTCTTTGACGTGTTGGGATAGCTCCGTCAAGCTGATTTAGGTTATTCCATGGGTCCCGTGTGCTGATTAGCCGCTACCCATTTGAGATGTGAGAGACTTACTCTCTGTCTGATGGCTTAGCGTTGCTTTGAAGCATCGAGACTGTTCCCACATGGAATAACCTTTTTTTGATTGCCTATACCCCGGTATACGATAATATGAAGTTAAACTTCTTTTATCGAGAGTATGCATGGGTATCCCCGAAGATGTAATTAACCAATAGAAACACGTTCCTCTGGGAGTACTTTTGACCCCTGGACATGTACATACACCTGACTCTCGAGTTATGAGTAGTCTATGTAGATACTTCTTTCGCGGATATTGGTTTAAGATGCCTCCGCCCAATCTTATTTGGGTGGACATTCTTAACATATCCTTGCGAGGTTTATTACACGTAGACTCTCCATGTTTTATTTTTTCTCTTATTTTTTTTTTGTCGTATGTCCCTTCTTATTCGATTCATCTCCCATTTGAATCATTTATATGGTTCGGGAGGGAGATTTATTCAAATGGGGGAAGTATATGATGACCGACAAGCTGACAACTCATTTTAAAATAAAAAAGAGAAAAATGAACGGAAATAAATCTGGCGACTCCGCTGGGGAAGAGTCTCTCTCTCCATACTTGGAGTTTCACTTCTGGGGTTATAGTCTCTCTCCTTACTAGGATTTTCACTCATATTATAGTGATTTGGTTCTCTTCATTCGAGTCACAGTTGAGCCTTTTGTAAGACCTTGGTTTTCTGTCCATGTGTCAGTTTCTAGAGGTAGCAACTCGATGCATTCTGTCCCTTTCTCACCCTCGATAGTTTGGCTGTTGCATTATTGCATGCATCGATGTTATTGTATTTTATGATTGGTTTCATAACCTTCTCCTTGTTTCTGTTCGTTGTCTCTTTTTGCCCCACGATGCAGAAGAGCAGGAAGATGATACGATCGCTACTGCAGGGGGAACCCTTTCCCTTCTTCCAGAGCATTTTCCATGCTCCTGAGGATGTCTTAACCTTCAGTTCCTTCGAGCACCCCTATGGGATTACCATACGTGATCCTACGTCATCTAAGGTGTTCGCTCTGTGCCCTCCTCCTTAAAAGGGGAGACGTGCATATTGAGTCATTTCTATGCCCTTTGGCATTTGTTATGTGCCCTCCCCCTTAAAATGGGAGTCGTGTATATCAAGTTGTTTTTGCTGCAGTGGCTCATGTCGCAACTGTTTCTTTTGCAGAGACAGACTGACGCTCGATCGCGACGCGCCGCAGCACCTGACGGTCTTTTTCAGACGCTTCCTTCCTGTTCTCATGGATATCCCTGCCATAGGCAGGTGAGTCTTATGTTAGCAGTAGGTTTGTCTCTGCTGTCATCGTTGTGACTTCTGTCTTGACTCTCTTTTTGTTCTGGTTCCCTGAGGTTCCACCTATCCATCGATTAGGCAGGAAGGCCAGGAAGACTAGGAATAGATTGCTGTAAATTTAGCAACATGTTCTGCTTCAGGTTTATATACCTATCTCGATTCCGGTTTAGGAGGTGTCTTTGACCCCTGAATTGTGAGTCGATTTGCTACTGTCCCTAGTTGTGCGGACCACGTCCCTGTTGGACTTTTGCATCATGCCTTCCTTTGGAAAGGAGGAGTTGTCTATGTGGCACTCCTTTTGTTGTGGTATCTCGTATTGGTACTACTTTTCCCTCGAGGAAGAGACTAA